ACTCTTTCCTATTTTTATGATTTTTTATATTCTTTAATGCTTCTAATACTCTATGTATCAAGAATTTTGCAATAAGTTCATACTTTGGAGAATTAAATTTGTTTTATGAAATTATCTCCGTTCATTATTTATTTATTATTATTATTTTGTTTGGAGAATTGAAATGGATTTGAAGATATGAATATTGATGAATCCTTAAAGAGCTTCTCAAGAAGACGAGAAAGAAAAAAAGATGAAATACAAGTTATATTTGAGATAGAGTGCAAAAACAATGTCTATTATTAGGAATAAGAAGAAGAGAAAGCAGATTAATAGTGGCATTGAGGTCTTCATAGAGAATATAGAAGATTTCATTAAGAAGTCTAATGAACTTCTTTATAACTTTAAGGAATTAATCAGTCTTAAAAAAACTCACTGAAAATTTGAGAAGTGAAACGAGTACTTCATTTGACAATTCTTTGAAGCTTATATTAAAATGATTTGTCTTTTGCAAGAGTACTTGAGAATGTCAGGTCTTTACAATATTCATAGCAGATTCAATGTTCATGTTGTTGAGTGTGGAGCCCAGTTATAATATAATAAATATATATGCTTTTTTGCCATTTCTGTAACTACTCCCGCCTATTTGCTTGTGCCTAAGGAAGGTGGGTCCCGCCACCATTAAAGAAGGAAAGGAAGTTACATTTGATAAAAAGTGCAACTTGTAGGTGGTTATATTTAAGTGGTTTTATTTTCTCTTCACGTAATATGCTGGAATGGTTTTTTTCTTTCTTGGCTTCTTGGATAGAACTTCAAGTGTAAAGAAAAGCAAGATTCGGCTCTCCCTCATTCTTCCTCTGTTCTGCGTTGGTTTGCTGGTGAAGGAAGTATCGCAAAGCACGGGGAAGAAGACTTACGGGCTGAAGGATACGAATCAGTAGAATCGCAAGGTGTGCTCTTCGGTGTATCTCGGTGTAAAGAAAAGAAGAGAGTGAGAAAGTGAGACTTTCTCCTACAATTATTATTGTGTTCAAACGGTGTAAATTCCTCAATTAGTAAAATCCTCTGCAACTCCGTGGATGTAGGCAATTTGCCGAACCACGTAAATCTGTGTGTTCTTTTCTGGTGTGATTTTTCTCGTGTCATTTTATTTTTCACTTCGTCGTCGATCGTTTTAAATTTCAAAGTTAACACAACAATCATGACCTCAACCTGATTTGGATAATAAATGCATAAGGAAAAATTTTCTTCTAACAGCAAAATTTCAAACTGCAAGAAGAATTTAATTCAAGTACGATTAATTATATCATGAAAAATCATTTTTAGGAAAAGTAAATTCTGCAGAAGTTAAATCCTTAAAACTATTTGAGAAAATACATATTAAATATACGTAAATCCTATTAAATTAATACTGCAGATATTTAAAAAACTATGATTTAGGTAAGATTTACGTAGTATAGAAAATAAAATAAAAAAAATAGTTTTCAAAATCAACCCAATCTCGCCAAATCTTAGCCAAGTATGGCAACCAAAATGTCCCTAAAACAGAGAAAAAAGCGATAGATTATCTATCACAATAATAGAAGCATTGCCCGCCGTAAGAAAACCCAGATTTTGCAGTTCAATCAGACTTACCATAGCCGACCCTACATATCAAATAATCCAAATCCCTTCACAAACATAGAATAGAGAATCACGTCACAAACACGCTTAACCCTCAACTGAAGAAAAAAAACAAGAAAACAGAAAAAATCCCGCCTACCAAATGCGAGCCACAAGTTCTAATGAGCCGGCCCTTGGAAGCTCCGCCATGGGATCGCTGCGCATGATCTCCGTCCTCTCGGCGATGACCGCGGTGGCGATCTCGCCTGCTGCGACGCGCATCATGGTTCAGATCAAGATCATCACTCTCCACCTCGGCGACCGATCTCTGATTCCTGCGAGATGGAGGCCTCAAGACGCAAAGGAGCTGTAAAGCAATAGTCATGCAGCTCTACTCCTATCTCCTTCCTCGCAAAGCTTTTCCGTAGTGGGAGGAGAGGGGGGACTGAGAAGAAGAAAGCAACGTCGTAAACGAGGTCCAGCAAAACCGGACAGAGTGGGGAGTTAGTAGTGTGGATCGTGGGCTGAGAGATAGCTCGTGCTGCTGAGAGAAGGGCCGTGGGGCAGTTTCGAGGGCTATTAGATATTACAGATATTTTGATCTACGGTCAAAATTGCGCTGGACGGGATAAACTGTGCTAAACCAGTCCGTTAGAAATCGCAGTGCTCCGTCTCCATGACGACCGACTCCGGAGGGATTGCGTGTTAACGTGGGACCCGCCCGGTGGGTCGTGGGAGCAACCTTCAAATAAACTAAATTCCGGATATATTAAATAAAATTTTTACACATTATTCTAAATAAAATACAAGTGTCAAATGCAAAATTTTCTTGGGTATTTGCATGTTTAATTCCTTAATTTCGATTCATCACTATAGTTTAGGCTTTAAAAGTGAAATATAAAATGTTAGATATGTAAATCTTTGAGAATTATGTTACATGCATGTTAATTTCTTCTTCTTTTTTTTCACTTTATAGTTTAGAAGGGGGAAGTTACAAATATATGTATATGAAAATGTGCCTTCTTAAATTATATAGAGGAATCATGTACATAAAAATACATAGGGTTATTATAAGAAAATAATTAGATATAGAAGTCAAAGCATTAAAAATATAAACCTAGATATTGGAATAGAGTTCTATTGAAGAGAAATGGCACATTTGGTGTGTGAAGTCATGGCAAGGAGAAGTATAAGTTCAAGAAGTATAAATAATTAGAGTTTTAATGAGGATTAAAGGCCGTTCACCAACACTAAAGCTATGAGAACTTGTTTAATCATTATAAATGAAAGTCATAATGTTGGCTTACAACCACTCAAAGTGAATGCTCTCTAAATTTCAATTAAGATCAATTTTAACCTATGAATAAAAAGAAAAAAATGTCTATACATATAGTAAAAATCTAAACATGGTCAATCACCCATTTATGAGAAATTTAATTCATTGAGCATATAAAATGCATCCAAATGTGTATTTGACTGTATAAAAGTTTGAATTATGATAATTTTTGATGTGATATAAAAGATTTGGCTAGTATAAAGGTAAAATTAAAATTTGTTTTTTAGATATATAAACACATAAAAACTATGTGGTATGGTATGTATGACATGCCCCTAAAATCAAGTGATATTAATTATTATTATTATTATTATTATTTTAAGGCGTTCGTACTCCTCTCTCATTGACATATGCAATATACATGTATTTTAATATAATTTTTTTATGTTTTATTTTTTAATCATGCAACATTCAATTAACAAATCTATGTTATGAAGGTTTAAATTTTGTTGGTGCACAAAGCTATGTTATGAAGGTTCCTAATACTTAGGATGTGAAATAGTTAGTGTACATTTAAAACAACTTTCATCTTTTTTGTCCCTAACGAAGCATCTTAGCGAACCTTGTATGTTCTAAATTATGGTCTTGGTCTCCTTGGCCAACAATGTTTTCAGCATTTTTTTGTCACTTGTCAAGAGAAAAACATGTAAAATGGATCGCATTTATGCGAGGAATAGAGAGAGGGGTCTAGAATTAAGAAGAACGGTATATTTTCTAAAGTTCATTAAAATGTTTTATTTTTGAAGCAATTATTTTAGATTTATTTTTATATTCATTTTTTATCTTATGAGATATGAGTCTCCTGAAGGAATCTTATCATTAAGATGAAATTTCACTTTGGATAATGAACGATAATACTCTCAATAAACTAAATTTTGGATATATTAAGAGAAAAGTCTACATTTAACATTATAAATAAAATACAACAGTCAATTGCAATTTTTTCTTAGATATTTGCATGTTTAACAACTAAATTTTGATATTGAACTCGGATTTTTAACATAATGTATGCATCAATATTGTCGGCACAAATCTCAATGCAATTGAACGGGTGAGGATGATGCACGACGATCAAGTTCTTCCTCGGAGGATTTGGTCGATGAGCCTATCCACGGTCCCAACCACCAAACGTCCCTAAAGGCTAGTTGAGCGCAACCGATCGACCAACCGCTCATACCTTAACAGGAACGATTCCCATGAGGTCAGTGGGTTTGATCAACTAGCTCATTACTGGCATATCAAAATTCGAATTGTAATATAAATTTAGTATTAAATCAAAAAATTGATTGCATTGAGGGCTATTTCTATAATTATTCCATTCTTTTAGTAATTGAATATCATTTTAATAATCGTTCTCTCCCTTTTGTAATTTTACAAGAAGACCTCCCATAAATAGGAGGCTCGATGATGAACAAAAAAACCCATGGTCTGAGGACTTTTTCCCCATCCTCTCTACGATGCATTCTATTTGACGTAGGAGAAGGGTTACCCTAACTGTCTAGCTTAAAAAGACTCATGTTAGGTAAGATGTGTTATGTCGACCCTTACACTCTTTTTCACAGATGCAGTTCTTCCCCCAAAGGGAAACTCGTACAACGAGGTGATTGTCATTACGACGTTCATAAACAACTACCAAATGGGAAGCATCATTGTCGACATCGGCAGTTCAATCAATGTTCAGTCCAAAACGGTGTTCGACAAAATGGGACTCAAGGCAGACTGATTGGGGACACCGACATGTCCATTGTTTGGATTTTAGGATGAGCGAAAGGAGGCTCTGGGGGTGATCTCCCTAACTGCTTGTGGGGAAAGCAATAAAAAACAATTCTACAATATGGAGAATTTTACGTACAACGCCATCTTCAGTCGGCCGCTATTGAACAGCTATCGGGCGGTAGCTTCGACATAACATGTGGCGGTGAAATTTCTTAGAGATGGGGAGATAATCTTAGTGTGAGGCAATCTAGAGCAATCTATGAGTTGTTACATGTGAGTGGTCACTAGCATCGACGGTGAATCACAAGTCATTCAAATACAGAGGGAATGAGATCTTGAGACCAGCGAGGACGTTCTTTGAGTATCTGTCATCAATGAGGTAGAACTGGTAAGATTGGTTTTTGAGTAATATGAGGTACTCTGAGAATAGAAGATAAAAGTAACTTACGATCGGGCTTAGGGATGATGCCATTCCCAACATGAGAAATTTCATTGACTTATTCTTTCCTTACTATTGCCTGTTCAGTATTATTGTAAGGCTGCGATTGTGGTTGTTGGACATTGTCCAAGTGTGGGGTGATGTGAGAGGTAGCTCCAAGTCAAGAAGCCAAGCTTGGTTCTTGGGGTTGTTGTTAGTATGAAATGTTGTGGTAGTTGTGGGCTTGTATTGAAGATTGGCATGATGCCAACATTGATCAGCCATTTCTTATGACAGATTTGGCATACAATGATTTTTTTGGGTTGTGGGGTGTTGGTTTGCATGTTAATTTTATTTGAATTGTGTTTCTAGCTTAGTGTTTTTGATTTAGAATAGAAATTCTTATTCTTGAAAGAGAGAAGTGTAGTTGTGTGAGTGTTTTTCAAAGATTCATTGGCAATATGAGTTTCTTCGCTTTGAAGCAGAGAATAGAAATCTTCAAGTGAAAGAGGGGTGGTTTGAGTTTGGATGGCAGTTTTGAAGCCTAGATAAGAGGAGGGAATACCGTTTAAAGTATATAAAATAATATCTTCATTATCAATTTTTAAATAAAAAATAACTATGTTATCGACAAAGTTCTTGATAGATGTAAAATATCGATTCATAGTTTGATTTCTCATTTGAATTCCATGTAATTTATTTTTGAGTTGAATTACTCATGAACAATTTGATGATTGAAAACGTCGTTCAAGGTTAATCCAAATATCTGCGGTGTGATTTAGATGAAGCACATAAGGTAAAATGGATGATGAAATTTTAGAAAGAAGAGTAGCCGTTAGATTTTGATCAATAAGCTTTCAAAGAAGAAAATCTAAGTTTTCAGTGGTATTACCAGTAGAATCCTGACTAAATTATGGTGAGGGGAGAACATTGTTATCAACAAATGAATTGAATCCATTGGCAAGAAACAACTTTTGTATTTGCAGTTTCCAAACGGCAAATGTTGTGAAAAACGACAGTAATAAATTGAAAATTTTGGAACGAGGAAATTCACATAATAGAAAAAATGCAGGTACACAGATTTACATGGTTCCAAAAATTGTCTACGTCCATGACAAATGATTTTATTACTTCGAGGAATTACACATTTATTTACAAACACTTTCTCTCTTTCTCTCTCTCTCTCCTCTCCGTCTCTCTCTCTACCCACCGTAAGTCACCAAGAAAGAAGAACCAAGGGAGCAGCAGAAGACTTGCAATTCTTTCCTATGCTTGGAGTTCGGTCAGGGGAGAGGAATCCCAGAAGAACTGCTATTTGATTCCTCCTTTCTTTAAGCTTCATGCCGAAGCAACACAACAGGAGAGATCAAGCATGGACCACCCGAAGCTTCAGCCGAAGAAGAATAGGAATAGCAGGTTCATAGCATGCCTTTCATTAATCTATATTTAAAGCAGCTAAGGAGAAGGCCCATTTAAGGCATACCATAATTACCAGATTTCTGGAGAGGAGTTGGCGGGACATGGGAAGAAGAAGCGGGAAGTTGATTTTAGAAGGAGATAAACGAGATTAGCAAAATTAAATATTTTGCCTAAACTGAACTGGACCAGGCTTCACATAACTTAACACCATAGTTATCAAATAGACAAGGAGAATGAGCTATACCTTTGATATGTTGCATGAGAAATTTTAATGTGAGTGGTATTTGAATGGCTTTCATTCTATTGAGTGATTCTTAAGAGGAGTTGATGAGCTGCGGGTTAGTGGAGGAAGAAGACTCCCTGGATGAATAATGAGCAGGAAATGAAGGCTCTAATACCATATAAAGAACCAAGAAGGAGAAGAAGAATGCAGAGCAGATAAGTGGAAAATGATATTTCATTCAAACAGCAAATGTTCCTGTTATCAGCTATATTCATACGTATATATAATGGCATACTTGCAATATTACCTAAGGATAGGATGGTCATTACCCAACCAATGTTATTTAATATAAAACCAACATATTTGACTAAAAATCTAAATGTCTGAATGCAAAAAAAATATTACATCAGGAGTCCTGATGTATATCTACATCATGATTCCAATAAATGTGTGACATGTCTTCGGAGAAGACAGACCATACATTAAAGTATAGAATTTTTTTTAATTTAGTGGGCCTATCATGTGAGGTGATGCTTATTTATTGGAGTTATGATGCAGTTATGCATCAGGACTTCTGATGTAATATTTTTTTCTGAATGCAAAAGAGGCGAAGCGAGGGCATAGACGCGGTCTAGAGGAGAAGCAAAGGAGAAAGCCATTCATGATAGGAGCGATCATTGAATCATCCAAGAAGATAAGTTCCATCCAATAAATCTTCAAAGCCGTCCATTCTCCTCATCGTTCCCACCTTCCAAGCCTCATTTGCACACCATTGCCTTCCTCATGCCTCTCTCTCTCTCTATTTCTTTATGCCAAAGGTCTAAATTTCCATACAAAAAAAAATCATCCAGTGAACGAGCTCTCTCTCGTCGATACCCATTAGCCCATCTCCTCAATTCTCCCACCCCCACCGTCATTCTATTTCTCCACCGCACCCCCACTCAAGACTTATTCATTCCCATACGATCATATTGTCGAGGTTGTAATAAATGACAATTCAAGAATATCAACAACTTCAAATGTTAAGGGAGAATCGGAATATTGGTGACTCCAAAAATTATGAAGGGGAAAGAATATAGATAAACGGAGAAGCTTATTACATTTTCATTCTTTCCTAATATATCCACATAATGCCTATTAATAGGAGTACAACACCAGTAGAGGCCACAAGTGAAAATAACAAAAAGGCTAAGCACTGGAATTCCAAGTGCCCAAATTTGAAAATAGCCAAATTTAAACGATATTTTAATGCAAAGAAAAAACAAAGTTTTGAATACTTCAAATTCCTCCAAAATTTTATTTTTTTTCTTATCAAATAAAATTAAAAAAAAACAAAATATTATGCAGTACCTCTTACATTCTATCCAAGAACTTCATAAAAGTAGAAAGATTTACAAACATGCAACTTAGTTCCCTTTTATTTACATATCCAACAGCTAAAATTAATTTTTAGATGCACGTAATCTATGAATGAAAATTTATTCTTCACAAATATCAAAATTCATGATAAAACCGCCCTAATTTTTAATATTATCAAATCCTCTCATCGTGACACACTTAAATGCATCAATTGTTCAAAAATACCATCAAGGTGCAAGATTTATAAAGGAAGAATGTTTTGGGTGATGTATATATAAAAAGTAATGTTTATGAATTAGACATGTAAATACATAAGTTTTTATTGGTATTTATGGAAATGCCCCTAAACAGCTTTACATAACTCGCAATTCTTATATATTTACATATGTAACGCCTACACTTTTATATTAACTTTTGTAACATTTTGATGTCTTAATCCTCTATATGAAAAAGTGTATTTCACTTTTAAATATTTATAATGATATTTTTGAAGTGATATCAAAAACTCGATTTAAAAAAAAAACAATAAAAATTTAATCCTTAAGAAAAATTTAGGTATTAGATATGTAGATACATAAGAATTGTATGGTTGTATGTAAATGCCCAAAAAGTAAATAAAGAGCAACTGCAAGACCAAATGCATTAAACATGGATCCTCAGTTCCAGTCAAGGTCTGCCAAACTTGGGAAATTTACATGCATGCCACATAATCCCTTCGTACTAACACATCTAACACCTAAAGTCTGATATTTATATTTATGGCATTTTGGTGTCATGAACCCATGCCTGAAGAGGTGTACTTCACTTTAACGCAATATTAAAGATTAGAGCGTTATGCAGGTAAATATACAAGTTTAGGTGTTAGACATGCAAATACGCAACAATGAGTGGTATGTATGTAAATGCAAACATTATACACATCAGCTAAAAGAAGCAGACAAATTCAAACATCATAAACGCATAACAAGTCACATGGTTTACAACCTTATCCTTAAACGTGCCTCACATTAAGATTAGTGCGTTGTGCATGTAAATATTAAAGTTTAGGTGTTAGATAGACAAATACATAAGAATGTGCGGTATGTAAGTAAATGCAAACATTATAAATATTAGCTAAAAGAAGCACACAAATTCAAACATCATAAACGCATAAGAAGTTTCACAAGGTTTACAACCTTCTCCTTGAATGTGCCTCACATTTAAGATTAGAGTGTTCCACATGTAAATATGAAATTTTAGGTGCTAAAAATGCAAAAACATAACAAAATGTAGTATGTATGTAAATGCAAAAAACTACAAACAGAGCTAAAAGAAGCACACAAATTCAAACATCATAAAGGCATGACAAGTTTCACATGGTACACAACCTTCTCCTTAAATGTGCCTCGCATTCATTAGCTACTCATGCCAAACCAAGATAAATAAACCAAAGAGCAAATTAACTTAACCAGATCCTCCAACAAGATATACTTCTTATAATCCCCTCATAACTAAACCCAAACTCACCACAAAACAACAGCCAAACTACACGACAGGGTACAAACTAACCTCATCCAAAACCGGCCCACACAACGTACCCGGATCGTTTAGCTTAGTATGGTAGAACGAACTAAAGAACGTGATCCTAGTCCTTATCCCCAATGCCTTGAACTTGAGACTTCCAGGCACATATTTACCAGTCCCTGTGGAATTATAGGGAACCTTCACTGTACTATTTCCTGCAAAAGCTTCAACGAGCATTGACCCGTGGCAGCCATTCTTTGCATCTCCAATGAAGAAGGTAAGGTTGTAAGACTTATTGGGAACAGTTCGAACGATTTGGGCAATTGCACTCTCCCTTCCCGCGAGAAGCTCGACGGCATAATGGCCGAAGGGTACGAAAAAATGCGCGGAGTCGATGTATTTTACGGCTTTGAGGGATTCAATTATCCATCCGATGAGCGGGGAACTGTAGTCTTCTTGCTTTGGAGGGAGGAGGATGCCGGATGAAGAGTTTTTGAAGACATGGGGTCCGATTTCATACCCTCCATTTTTTACTAAGTTCCCTGCAAAAATTGTAGTTTGTAATAAGCTTTGTGGTGATTTTTAAAGGACTTCCCACATAAATTGGATTTCAATAAATATTTGCAATAAAAGATAAATAGCCTTATCCTTATCTGAACTGATTGATCAATAACAACTTTATCTTCAGAGAGAATATCTGAACTGATTGATCAATAACAATTTTATCTTCAGAGAGAATTAACAGAGAATCAAACAAATAAGTAACCATAGTTTTATATATAACAATAAAGCCCCATTTAGATGAGCCTATATGAAACAAAATTCACATTGTCCTCGTTTTGCTCAAACACTAAGAAAAGACTAGTAAAAATTACAAACATATATACCACCCAATTCCTATGTATTTACATATATATCTAACACTAAAAATTTGATTTTTAAGTTTATACCACCCAAATCTTTAATATCACGACAACAACAAAAAACTTTTAAAAAGTGAAATACACATTTTAAGGCTTTTAATGCATAAGTAAGGTATCATATATGTAACAAATTGAGTTTTGGGTAAAAACATAAAAATGAGTGATATGTATATGCAAATCTTCCAAAGATTACTAATTTAACTCTTCAGCTAAAAAGCATCCATGGATCCATTACCTCTGGTAGGAGTAACAGGAACAAGCTCCTTGATCGCCACTGCATCTATAAGAGGGCCACACGCAGGATCTTCCTGCACACCAATATTGTGAAAAATAATCTGAGCCACCGAAGCGGCTGCCTTAAATGCCCAAGCATAGCTGTCTCCCCCATCGCTGCTATACAGAGTTTGAAGAGGAAGATCGCCGAAATAAGGTGGCACATAGACCCTCAGCACCTCATCCTGAGCGCAGGTCCTTGATGCGCCGAAGGTTAGAGCGTAGATGGAGCCTAGTTTCACGCTTACGTTCTGTGAAATTGAGGCCTCGTTGCCGAGGCGGACGGCGTGATCGCCGTGCGCCACCTTGAAGTACATTCCGCCGGGCTGGGGGCCGCCGGAGATGTACTCGACTAAGCCATGGATTGTCCAGTTGGGGAGGGAGTGTTTGCCCAGAATCCTCGTTTTGTTCAGCTTGGAAGGTTTGGGGGAAATCTCAAAGCTTCCGTTGAGCAAGAACTCTGTTTGGTGAAAGATACAAGAAACATTATTGCAGATCTGCTTTCAAGCTAAAATATGAAGGAATGGAGATTTGGAGTTTTTTTTACAGCATAAAAACTATATTTGTCGACACTTACAACCGTGGAATACAAAAATTATTTGAAAAAATAGAACTTTTTAGGGTTGAACGGCTTGAGACAATGTGTTGAGCTAATGATTGTATCGAACTTGACCAACCAAAATGCAGGCACAGAACTCCAAAAATCGGATTTTTTTACCCGTTGGCAAAAAAGAAGCATCAAAACAAGCACAGCTAGCCTAAAATCAGAAGAGATGAAGAGCAAACCATCAAGTTCTTGAGCTGGAAGAGCATGGCTGGTGCAGAAGAGGAAGAGTAGTAAGACACACACGGGCCGCATGTCTCTGAACAGTGGTGCCGAACTGCGTCCCAGAAGAGATGGAAAGCTTTATTTAACTGTTTCAGAGGATTGTATCCTCCGGAGCTTTTTCTCCATCTGCGGTTTTGGATTTCAAACTCGAAATAGTACGGACAATTTTTGAAAAGGGGGCATATTTTTTTTAATCTTAATAAAATGATCCTCGAAAATTCTGATTTTTTTTTATCTCGCGATTAAATTAACACTTTAAAAATATTTAAGATTTGATGCTTGCTAAAAAATTCATAGCGACAGAGTAACAGATTATTGTCTTAACGTTATACGAAAGTTCAACACATACACAGATAAAAAAGAAATAAACGATAATGACTCCAAAAGTTTTTACGCGAAAAACCTATAAAGTGAAAAACCACGGGCTATAGCCCAGTTGCAGAAATTCACTATTAAATTAATGATTACAAAATTTCTTATCCCACAGACGGGAAAATGGTAACTATATTTTTCAGATTACAACGTCGTTGACGATGTCTAATTGGTGGCCATCGATAGTGGTCAATGCTTGTCGATAACGATTAGCGAAGGTCGACGATAGTCAGTGGTCGTCGTCAGCGATCGGCGATGGTTCTAAGCTGCAGCTTCTCCTCAAGATCTCAGACTCTCTCTAGACTTCAGCTTCCCCTCATGTGAGGGGTGGGGGTCTATTTATAGTGTTATGGATGCAATTAATGCAGGAATATCATTTATTTTGATCGGACGGTCCAGAGAGTGTCCACCGATCATGCTGCATTTAATGGACATTTCAGTGTCTTAACGATGTTAGAATTGAGTGATCTTAGTCTCGTTGGATTCGTCTTGTCGAGCCGCTCGATTCGAATATAAAATTGACAGTGTTGACATTTGTTTGACCTTCAAAATGTGTCTAGAAATCTTTCAATGGTGGTTTAATGACTTGATCTGAGCTTGATTTGACTCGGGATTTGACTGGGTTTGGACTAGGTTTCATATCATTGGGTCCGTCTCATCGAGCCGGTCATTTTGATTATAAGTTTGCTGAAATTGCAATTCTGGATGACATTTTATCAAGATTTAAATGTTTCTTGTTTAAAATATCGTCTTGAGTTTCGTGTTATGCTTCGAGATTCGTGTCGGATGATTGAAAGTTTATTTGTGGAACTTCTTTGATATTTTTCTTCGGCGAATTTTTTTTATTATTAAACATGAACCTAACATAGCTTTTAATTAATTATATTCTTTTATTATTTGTATTAAAAAATATTTTATTTAAAAATGAAAATATTAATTTAATTATTAAGATATGATATAATAAATGTAAAAAATTATATTCTAGTTTTATAAATACATAAAAAGGTATGCTCAGTCCGTAAATATAAAAAACTTTATAATTTTATCATTCATTTACACTTATTTTTTCCAAATCGAGGTCGCGTTTGCATGCAGTGTTCCGGCAGCACGGCTTAAGATAACTGAGGGAACTGTTAAGAACGACAAACCGCTGTCGGGACGCTGCAAGAACAGGGCCCAATTCATGGCGGTGCCGCTGGACCAATTAATTTAACTGGCCAATAAAGCGTGAGGTGAACTTGCATTTAAAATTGCCTCAAAGTTACAAAATGTGGTCGTTTTTGTGGGTGGCGGTTGGCGAGATGAACATGAATTACCCTGCCCCACCGGGTGTACAATTTAAGTCGTACCTTCCCGATGATCTTGGCGCAATTCTCTGAACATGCGGAGACCGCGTTGGCGTCCGCGCGGTTGGGCCAATGAATTCGCTCCGTGATTGCTTTATACTTAGTTTATTTGAAAATAGGCTCCTTTGTCACACTAATTAGACTAAACACAATTAATAAGAGAGCCAGAGCAAATTTGGTTTTCACAGGGTGAGTTTATCATCTTAGTAATGGACAAAATCTCAAAAAAATGTTTTAGTTAAAAAATCTCTGACCTATGATTTATATAGCTTTAAATTGAATATCTTGAAACTATTAAGTCAGAGTACCACTATCAGATTATCATCTTATTGTCATTAGAATCCGTGTCTTCAAGCCGTTACCACCATTGAATAGCCCAGTTTGCTAATTCTACAAGGCAATGTAGTTGGTCCATGACCATCCATTAGACTTCTATTATCAAACCACCATTCAATTGTTATCATCATACCATCATTGAATAATTGTAGTTACCCATGAATCATCTCCTGATAGTTGCTTCCAAACGCTGTCTTCAATTCTCAACCACCATACTATAGTTGCTAGACCATAACCATCAAATTGCCTATATGGAACCAACACCATCGTTGGACTGTTGTCATTTGATTGTCACCACCTAATTGCTACTAGCAGATTATCGTCATCATTGGGCTGCCCGTCATCAATCAACCATGAATATGGGATGGTTGCCACCATTAATCATTGCAGTTAAATGATTGTCCTTCAACAATTACCATAAAAGTACCATCATCTAGTCTTTATTTTTGTTGAATTGTCATATTCTAATTATGATTCCCCAATCCTCGTCATTCCAATCCTCGTCATTGAACTATAGTTTTTTGACCATTGTAGTCTAATTGTGGCCTTTTGATCACTATCACCAATATATGATTCCCCAATCCTCGTCATTGAACTATAGTTTTCTGATCATTGTAGTTTGATTGTGGCCTTTTGATCACTATCACCCATATATGATGATCTTACAATAATCACCAAACTATAATTTTCTAGTTGTCATTGTCTAACTATAGTTAACACCACCATTTCATTATATTTGCGATCACCATCTCCTAATTATGCAAACTTCCACTAACTTTATATTTTGGCATTACCTATGTTATTGGTGCATGTTATTAATACACAAAATCACCTAAAAGGTCAATGCATAACTTCATTGTATGAATTACGTTTAAGATAGATGCATGACTTCAACAATAACATCAATGCCCAATGAATTAATTGCATATTATCAAAATAAAGCTCGTCATCGATAAGGGCAATGCCCATCATTGATATTGACACCAACCATCATCGTCAAAATCAATAATTCGTAAAGGACTTCTTCAATTTCGATGATATCTTTTTAAAGAAAAATGTTCAAATATACTACTAACAATTACTTCAAAATGATTCAAATATTTTGAGATTCAAGATAACTCAAATATCTTAAGATTCTTATAATTGTCATCATTAAAAACATTATCAACTATTTATATAATTTATATTATATCAATATTTTCTTCAATATTTGAGATAGACATCATTTGTAACCTTTAGGGAAGTGCTTCATTGTAATTGATGAGATATATTAGTAGAATCATTTAAATTAGATTAATCATCATAATTTTTCTTGCTCATAAATTGTCATGGCACCTGAAACAATGTTTATTACAAATCTAGCACCTTGTTTCATCCCTTTTTCAATTTCTCACTAAAATATAAAAATTCAAGCTAAAATCTCAACTCATGCTTTTCTTTTTTAACCAATTCTCAAATCAATTGTGATAAGTGTAAATATATCGAGTGATAGCTCAAAAATATCATTTAGATGTTAGATTTTGTAAATAGCAATCTTTTTGATAAGACACCAACAAATTTTCATTATCATACACAAATATCAAAGCATGACACGAATCTCGAGATAATCTTTTGAGCAATAAAAATTCAAACTTCAATTAGTAGTCATCTAGAGCTTTGATTTCAGCAAACCATATTCAAACTGACCGGTTCGATGAGACGGACCCAATGATATCAAAATTGATCCAATTCAAGCTCATATCAAGCCATTAAACTGAATTTGAAAGTTTTCCAGATATATTTTGAAGGTCAAACGAATGTTGAATCTAGCAAATATATAGTTGAATCGAGCGTCTTGACAAGACGAATCCAACGAGCCTAAGATAACTCAATTCTGACATCATGAAAACACTCAAATGTCAATCAAACGTCGTTTGATCGAATGAAGCTTTCTGAGCTGTCGAATCAAGTGGTTCGTATTCATGCATTAGTTGCACCCATAACACTATAAATAGAGTCCTACCCCTCTCATGAGGAAGAATAGAGCTTGAAGTTTTGGAAAGCTGAAGTCCAGCATTACTTCAGTCACTGTCAACCACCTCCGACAGTAATTAATCACTACCGACCGCCATTGACCGTCGTCGACCACCATTTGCCTAAATCCACCGATCACCATCTGCCGCCACTCACTTCTTACAACAAGCTTATTCGTGCATTGACGTTGTAACTCTAAAAAGTGTTAAACTTTTTCTTGCCTGTGAGATGAGAGATTGTATATGTAATATCTAGTATATGGTAGATTTTTTCAACTGAGCTAGACCCTTGTGATTTTTTCTCTTACAAGTTTTTCACATAAAAATTCTCGGTGCCACTACTGATTATTTTCTTTATTTGAGTGTTTGTTGAATTATCGTGCAAAGCTAAGATGATAATTCATTACTCTACCGCCGTGAATTTTCTAAGACGCATTAATTTTAAGTGCTATGATTGCAGTTATCACCAAAAACAATAAAAGAATTTGTTATTCATAGGAGAGACATCACATGATAACAAAATGCAATATGCATTAAAGCTGTTGGTGGTCATTACCATCCCGTGACGCCCTCTTAGTACCATAAGTAGTGAGATCTATAATAGGACCCCATGTGGGGTCTAACGCGGCCATCGTACGGTTAATGTGATTGCCACCACCCCTCTAAGAAAATTATTATTAAAGATCATTTAAATTTAATTAATTTTATATTTACATGCATACCACCTAATTTTTATCTATTGATATATCTAATACTTGAATTTCTATTTTTTCCATATATATCGTCACCTTATCTATACATAAAAAAAAAATTTCACTTTCTAAGTTTAGATACTCATATTTCTTAGATGATATTGAAAATTTGGGTGGTGTAAATGTAAAAACTAAAATATATTGAATACATTTATTTTCTTAAAGTGGATTATATTCTGAGAGGCAATTAAATAAATGACTGTAAGCTGATCTTGAAGCAGGCCTCCATCGACTTCAGAATAAACGTTAAAAGCATTAAGGCTTTGTCAATATTATGTGTAGTTATAAGTCAAATA